TTGGCACCGATAAGACTGCTCAATTATATGCTAACACAACCACAAGAGTTGATGAGGAACCAATCACAAACACCAAAAACTACCTCACCCAAAAAAACACTGACCACACCTAATACAAACCAAGCAATCAATCTACCTATCAGCAAAAGCTAAACAACACTAATAAATGTACTTATAAGGAAAAAATAATTTGGTACAAAAAATGTTTACTTTTTGAGATTTTTTTTTGGTCCAAAAGAGTAGTAAATCGTAACTAATGTCTAATTTTATTTTTAAAAATATAATAATGATATTTTTGAAAACTAAAATATTTCAACTTTAAAAGGTGATTTTGTCTTTAAATTATTATCTTTAAAATCTTAATTTGATATAATGTGAAAATCTGACTCAATTCATGTAACGCCCCGAAATATTCAACACAACCCAACCACATTAACGAACATATACTGAATCACAAGGTCACAACTTCAACCTTTACATCATATATCAAGAACGTTTATACAAAAGTTTCACATGCAAGTTATACATTCATTGGTAAGAAAACACATGAATCTATAGCATGTGAAGCACCTAGTCTCAAAATAATAAAATGCCATTAAGGGCTTACATCTTCCAAGGCAATAGTCCGGTTACACAAAATGGTCTCTCGGATCCATACACGTTTAGCCCTTGGCTAACAATTAAATCTCAACAAAATAGAGCTATGTACTCTTCACAATTATCCACGCCCTCAACTTGGCGGGATCACCACGTCTTTATCTGCACCAAAGTCTCATAGGGGTGAGCATAAAGCCCAGTAGAGAATTCTCACAAAGTATATACAGTTATGCAAATTCCCTCAACAATTAAAGTTCAAAAGTAATGCCCTGCAAATGCCAAAAATAAAGGGAAATTTCATTTCAATGCACTATTTGAAAATCACCATGTTCTCAATGATATTTTCTAATCTCATCAATTTCAAAACTTCCAATATTTAAATCAATAGGGCGGTAAATACGACACTGGTAATCCATAGGTTGGTGTCTGCAAGTAGGCTCAACGATCTCTACCAATACCCCACTTTACCGGCCGGTTGCTAACCGGAAGAGAAGTGGTACTTTCTCCGCGCGTGTTTTCGGTCTTTCACCCCAGACACTCAGGCCAACTTATCAATCTCATCTACACCGCTTAACCAGACTTACCAACGTATTTACCCCTTTAACATAACCATAGGTTTCATTTCAATGTAACCTTGCTTAATGCGAATGCTTTCTAACCCATGTCTAGATGTACAATAATAACAAAAATTTAAATGAGAATATGATACAACAATTAACATTTCATAACATTTCTTCGTTTTTCCTTCTTCCAATGCCATCTCACAAAATAACTACATGCTCAACCGATGCTATCAATACATAGCAAAATTTCTCATCATGCACATTTCTTAACATTCTAGCCATTCCAAGACTATATGAAATTTTCAAACATCAACTTCTAAGATTTCAATTCTCAAAATCCATGGTGCTCAAAGATTATCATCTCACAACACTACAAGTTCAAGTGTTAGCAATAATGTTAAAATAACATCTCATTTCTCATATATCAAGTATATTGCTATTTTGCTAAACATTTGATGAACTTACTCTTATTCATCCTCTTGACATAAGAAAATAAGAATTTCAAAAGGATATTTTCTATTTTTTTTTTCCAAAATCCCCCAATTTCTAGGGTCTTCATTGAAAACAAACTTTCCTCATTTTCTAAGAGAAACTCCATCAAACCATTCTTCATGAGTTTAATAGAGGAAACCCTCAAGAAGTAGTAAAAAGATTGAGATACAAACCCTTATTCAAAACTCTCTCTACATTTTGAATCAAAATCTAAAATCAACACAAAACTTCAAGAACACTTTTAAATCAACATCAATATAGCAAAACTTGTATATATGACTCAAGAAATCCCTACCTCAAGGTCTTGATGAAGAAAAATGGAGATGAAACCCTAGATCGAAATGATGGGAGAGCCTTGACTTCCATCACACCAAGTGAAGCTCTAGCCCTTGATCTTCAAGATTAGAGAGAGATGATGATGATCTTGACTCAAGATTTGCAAGAATCAGTGTTTTGGTGTTTGAGAAGGTTTTCTAGAGAGAATAGAGGAGAAAAATAGGGTTTAGAGTGAGAGAGAAGTGTCTAAAATGAGAGATACATTCGGACCAAAAAGAAACAAAAAACAGAGTTTTGGACTGCCCGTCTGCCACACGTGCGGCGCACCTCCCTGCACGTGCGGCCTTTATCCCTGCACGTGCGGTGCCCCTCTCCCGCACCTCACCCCGCTCGTGCATATTAGACAGTGCGCAAACCCCTGCTGCTCAACCTCCACTGCACGTGCGGCCTCACTCCCGGCACGTGCGTGCCTGGCCCAGTAGCCTAGAAAATTTCCTCGTCGCTCTCGGGCACTCTGGACCTGACCCCGCACTTCTCAGAAGAAAGAAACTTCAACACCGAATAAAAAACACGAATAGAAATTTCATTGAGATAAACCCTCCGGACAACACAAACCCCAAACACTCAACAAGACTCCAAAATAACCAGACACTCTATCAAAGTAAATTCAAGGTTAAATGAGGGAGAACGAAACTAGAGGCATAACAATTCACGGGTCAATTAAAATCATGAAAAGACAAAGTATGAAGCATGCATCATAGTAGTTTAGTAAAGTAATGCGTGATTAACTTGTTAGGCAAAGCTTTTTCCATTTCAGCAATGAGAGTAATGCGTAATTAACTTTGTCAGGCAAAGCATTTTCCATTTCAGCAATGAGAGTAATGCCTAATTAACTTTGTCAGGCAAAGCATTTTCCATTTCAGCAATGAGTGTAATGCCTAATTAACTTTGTTAGGCAAAGCTTTTTCCATTTCAGCAATGCTATCATCTCAGAACAAAAACCCCAAAAAAATTCTAAAATTTCACATCAATGGTCAAGATTCATTTAGAGTTTGGCCCCACAACACTATCTTTTAATATACACCATTGATTCAAAATTCATGATAACTTTTTGAACATTTTTCTGGGATCGTAGCTTTTCTGTTTCCTTTTTTTATCAAGCGTTCACTGGAAGCTATTTATTCTATTAACCATAGTGTCCATTGTTTCCTTTTGTAATTTAGGAATACATACAATTTGGTGAGATGTTTATATTTACATTCTCGTGATTTATGATGCAGATTGAAATTTAAAAATTATATATTTTATTTTATTATTTTAGTATTTGATTAGAATTATTTAAGCCTATGATCTTTTAATTTTTTATTTATTTAAGTTTCCTATTTCGTTTATTTTCTTATTTTACAAGAATAAAATTGTTTGATCACAAGAATTATTTTTATTTCTTAATATTTTATTTTTCTTTTTAAATATTCTTGACTAGTAAGAATATATTTTTTCCTTTTTTAGATTTCTTGATTAGCAAGAATTATTTTAGTATAAATAAACATATAAATGTTAAGATAATACGGTTGATATTTGATTAATAAAAATAGAGAGTTTTCTCAATATTGTTTGTTCATAGAGAAAGTATTTCTAATTCGAATTTATTCGTGGTTTGGTCTTTTTGTTTGCTCTTCTTCTCGATACGTTTTCCTGCATCATTACTTGACTACTGAACTACTATTCTTTTAAAAACTCCATCTATATCGTGTTAATAATGATTGAGATCGTGCCTAATAAGATAAATTAAAATTTTATTTGGCCTACATAAATAGTGGGGAAATGAAAATGAAAAGTAATAAGAAAACTAATAAATTTCCCTTATATTTTATCTTATAAAATTTAAAATTGAGAGTTTCTCGAAAGTAGTGAACAATTTAGGAAAAAAACTAAACTAATCTCTTCCCTAGTTTTCTTCATATGATCTTTTCCTTCATAATTAAGTATGAAAAATGATATGTTTTTGCCTTTCTCTCTTCAAATCCACTTAACCAAATAGCCTAGGAGTTCAAATCCAATAAAATTCAATCATGCCTGAGGAAGGTCTTCTCAAATCAGTATATATATTTTTATTTCAAATTCAAAAATAATTAAGAGATTCTTTTAAAATTCAAATTGTCATAGCAAATATAGACTGTTGATTTATATTTTAATGATGTGTTTTAAACTTATGCATTGGAATGGAGATCTTTATTCCGGCCATGTAGTAGAGAGGATCTAAATCTCATTTTGGATGCAATCTACATCATATTAAATTTGAATGTACACTACACAATTCATTTTCTAACCATTGTTTCAGCTAGTTTTCAGAGTTTAGCTTTTTCCTTCAATGTTAGTGGTCTTAAAATGTCAAATTAGATTTTCTTCCATTCAAATCTTCTTTTCCCTTTTTTTATTTTATTTAAATTAGTTGCCCTTTTTCACCCAAAAACTTGCACTTCCAAATGTTGTTCATCTTTTGTGATGGGTATAACTTTGGAGTTGTTTGGGATGAACAATATAAGTGCACTTTTTGAATTTTTGAGCAAAAAAAAAGTAGAGGAAAAAAAGATAATTATTTGGGATAATTTTTTAATTTTTTACGAAAAAAATGTGTATTAAAAGATTGTATAAAATCACAAAATTATTTTTTTATCCCTATGCATACTGACATACAATCCGTGCATGTCAGTACGATTGCATACTGGCGGAACTGTGTGTATTGGTTTTGTTGGAAAATAATTTTATTTTTTTTTCAATCGTGGTCTGCACTTGGGTACAATGTTTTGAAAATATTGTTTTTTTATTTATTTTGTTTGGCAGTGGCACACGTCTCCCATAGTAATAAAAAATTGTTTTTTTTTTGTTTTTTTTTTCTTTTGTTATGTGATGTCTAGTGAATCTATGCCTATGCCTATGTCTAGTGAACCTATTTTTCCTACCCTTGACTTTTGTGAATAGTGTTAACTTTTTAATTTTTTTAATAATTTTTTAATTTTTTGCCTTTTATAGAGTATTCCAAACAAGCACTTATATCAACAAAATTTGACATGGTCAAACGAAGGAGATATATTTAATGAGGATCCATTACAATGAAAGCATATGAGAAATGGTGAGTGACAATATCTAATAGTGACTCACCTTTGGTTCATATATGTGACAATGAAAGCATATGAGAAATGGCGAGTGACAATATCTAGTATTGACTCACCTTTGGTACATACATGTGTACAAAGGAGCATAAGCTAATATGTGACAATTCAAAGAAGAAGAAGACAAAAAAAAGAAAAAAAAGAAAAAAGAAAAAAGAAAAGCTTAATCATATTTCATTTTTGTTATTTTGGTTCTTCATTTGCTATTTTCAAGTTGAAATGTAATGGACCCTTATTGCTACACATTGCTTCATTGCAGTTTCAGACACTTCAGCCTGCAAAGAAAGAAAAACGAAGAGAAAACAAAAAAACCATAATGCATCATTAGTTGCAGTTGCAAACAAATGACAAGATATTGCTGTAAATAAGAATATTAAGATTTAAGAGTATTATTTTCTCGTACTTAGTGCACTTTCATCTGCACGGTTATATTTTGATGTTCTCAACATACAGTTGAGAATGTATTCAATACACAAGAATAATAATTTTTGAGTACTCAAGATCCTTGATGAATACATGTAATGTATTTCTGATTGTGCTTCCTTTGCGGTGCCAACCTAGTTGGGATCGTTAAGGTTAGCTATGATGCTTAGTACACTTTCCCGCTTTGTTGATGTAATTTATGCATGTTTTGTGTTTTATATCAATAAAGTTTTTTTTTACGGATCAAAAAGAATATGTAATGTATTTGAATGGAACTCAAAGTTAGCACCAGTCAAGGAAAGATCGAAAGAGTACAACTATATAGTTAGTAAAATACTATATAATTTATATTTTTTTACAAATTCCTTTTGTAAAGTAGTACAGCTTGCAATAATAAAGTCTTCGTATTTGAAATGGTGCGGAAAATTGTGGGTGTGAGAGTCTGCGTGATTGATAATAGTTATCGGTTTAGTGATTTTGTTTTTTAACTCTCATAGTAACATATGTAAGAAACCATGAGCGATAGTGAAAAGCGAGACAATGTTGTTTTTACAATAACCTGCAGCTTATATGACCTTAGTGTTTGTAAAGTTGTTATTTTAGTAGGTTATTTTAATTTTTGATTATTTTAGTAGATTAAAATTTTTGTATTTGAGAAGATGATTAGATTTTTTTATAGTTGGATGTGATGTTTGTAAGAGAAAAAGTGAAATGATTATAGATTTGATGTGACATTTTGTTTTATTAATTATTTTAATATATTTTATCTTTTTGTAAATTTAGTCTAGAAGGCTAAAAATTTTTTTGCCAAACAATTTATTTTAAAATTTTGTGCACAGCGTGTAGTAAAACTTGTGATTATAATTTATGAGATAGAAATAGTTTAAAAATGTGTTTGGAATTAGCCTTTTCAAGTTGCTTTGTAGATATTTTATAAGTTGAAAAATTGAGTTTGGGAATTTATTTTTTTTAAAAAAATTTATGAGTGAAAAATATCAACATAGCAAATGACAAATAACTTTTTTTGATTTTTTTAATTTTTTAATTTTTTATTCAAAAAATTGACTTCTTTAGCACATGCCAAACACTCCTTTAAAAAAAGACTAAGGCCAAGTTTGAGAAATTACAAATAATTCATCTTTTTATCTTTTTTTCATCACATCACCTCTCTACTTTTCTACACATCTTTTTATAAAAAAGCAAAAAATATATTTATTTAGGTCATTCCAAACAACTCCTTATTATTAGGTAGAGTAGAGGGACGCTTTTAGCTATCACAACATGATTATCAACTTTTAATTTTTAAACAAACCCAAAATGAGGAGGCGAGGGTGCAGTTTGGGACTTTGTAGGCCCACTTCAGCTCTAGGTAATTTGAACCAGTTTAGTACTTTCTGAATAAATCATCCATCTAAAAAAATTTAATTGATTAATATTAATAACTATTTGAATTACTTTTATTTTTGAAAAATAGACAAGTATGAAATCGACAATTCATTGCCAATTTTTGTAACACAAATGTTATTTAAATATAAACCAAAATAAGCCCAATTACTGGACTAGAGGTAAGCTGCGTCGTTAAGATTTTTTGAGAATTAAAATTGTGTGACAAGATTATTACATAATAGTATAAATAAATGAATGTACCTCTGTTCCTGATCATCCATGAATTTGTAGCCCTTGTTGCTCCCTGCAACAGGCTTGTAGTAGGGCAAGGGAACTTGTCCAGACTCAATTTGGTTGACATCCTCAACAAGCATTTCATAGTGTCTCTTCACCTCCTCCACACTCTTCCCTCCGACTGCCCTCGCAATGTTCTCCCACCTCTCCGGTGCCTCCATATGGCCGTATATGGCCAGCGCGTTCTCAAACAACTTGTTTTGCTTCGCACTCCAATTTGATGAGTTCGAACCCATTAATATTTTCACAGTATGAGATACAGATATATTTTTTCAAAATAATAGAGAATGAGAATGGTTTGTGCAAACTAGTGTAACATTTCTGCCCCATATATAGTGGAATTTAGAGAGAGAAAATGAAGGAGAGAGAGAGAGTGGGGTTTGGTGGATAGGATGCTTTTCTCGCTGGGTGTTGCTTTCCTTTGAAAACTGGGGGCAATAGTGAAAAAAACAAAAAATCAACAAATCTGGGTGTTTTACTTCACTTTCCAGGTAGTTTTCATTGATTCGTGGATAAGAGTAAAACCTCAACAAACATTAACCCAGACAGGCTTCTCTTTTGCCTGGAAAAGTTGTTCCCCATTCGTATTTTCACTTGTTTAACGTAAAAAACGTCGGATCGAAAGTGGGTCCACGTGAAAAATGAAAAACACAATGCTAATTTGTATTAGCGATGGCTATTGGCCTCTTGAACATTCAATCCCCCTAGTCCAGTATTTTACTTATGGATTCGGGTTGGGGTGGGATTTTGGATGATTTGGGATGATCTAAATAAGTGTAATTTTTAATTTTTTTTATGAAATATGGGTTGGATATGAGTTGGATTTGAATAAAACGATGTCACTTAAATAGGATAGTGACTTTTTGACTTTTTTAGATTATGACAAACAAGACCTTTGTGTCTATTGAAAATTTTTACCGAGGTTTTATTTGTTAATTATATATTTTAGTCAAAAAATTATTATAAATTATCACATCACTTTCTCTATTTTTCTGTATATTTTTTTTTATAAAAAATAAAAAAAATACTAAAATAGTTGATTCCTAAACTAGGCATGAGTTTGGGATAAAGAATTTTAGCCTAGTTCAACCTAGCCCACCCATTTATAAATTATTAATAATAATTTTATATTATTTTAATTATAAAATAAAGTATAAAAAATATAAAAGACAAAAAAAAAGAGCATATATATATACTTCTGTTTAAATTAAAATACGGGTAAATTATATTTTACCCCTCAACTATTGTCTAGTATCACTTTATTTTTTTTAACTAAAAATTATAACACTTAACCCCCTTGTATATACTGATTGTTTTCAATTTGGACCTTTATGAAGAAAATACCATTTCATCAAAGGATAAATTACACTTTATCCTCTCAAACTATTACCCAATATAATTTTACCCCCTCAATTAAAAAATGATACATTTGTCATTTTGCATTATAAATTTATATCAATTTTTTTTTTTAACTCCTATAAATTTATATCAATATAAACATTTTGTTAAAGATATGTCACTTAAATAAAAATAATAAATAATAAATGGCATATGACTTACACACAACATCTCGAATGAAATACCTAAAATGACATTATCAATATGTTTTGTTTAGTTTTTAGTGAAAAATACGAAAATATACCTTCTTTTTTTTTTTTATTTTTCGTGAAATTTTTTACAATTTTGAGTAACCATGAAAACCAATTACTATATAATTTTTTTTTCAAAAAAAAAAAAAACTCAAAACTATATTTTAGCTTAAAAATTAAATAATATTTTTTAATTGAGGATATAGAGTGATATTAAGTGATGGTTTAAAGGGGTAAAGTGTAATTGCTCCTATAGTTGAAGGGTGTTTTCATCATTAAGGTCCAAATTAGAAAAAAAAAATTAAGAGATGAACAGGGTTAAGTATTAAAATTTTTTGTTCAAAGGATAAAGTGATATGAGATAATAGTTGAAGAAGGTAAAATGAAATTTTCTTTAAAACATTTGTTAAAAATTAAATTTATTTTATTATTGAATGTTGTTCACGTTCTAAATTCAAATAATAAATAAAAGAATTTAAATAATTTAATATTTATTCAACATGAAAAAGGAAAATAGTTTTTATTTATTGGGTTAATTGGCTTTAGAGCCTGGCTTGGAATGACTAGATTAGGTTCGATGTCAGGTCTGGCCAGTCTTGGGATACCACATATTCTTTTACTTTATAGTGCAAGCTCGGCTCGAGGTTTGTCCACCTTTTCAAATCTAAATTTGAGAGAATTAAAGTCTCATTTTGATAATTCGAATTATTCATATTGTAAGACCCTTAGAATTTATCATTCCTAAAAAAAAATTATATTGATCCGATAATCATAACATTTTTTAAATTTTAACGCATTTATCTTTGAAAAAATAGATGATAATTCATTTTTAAAAATAGATTATTCATTTTTTTGAGACAAAATGATAAAATGAAAATCTTTCAATTTTTGGATCAATTTAATTTTTTTAATGAATGATATAAATGAAAGGTTTTACAAAATGAAACATTTGGATCATTGAAATGAGACGCATGGTGGGCCCTACAACCCCTCCCCATGGGTTCCGTTTCAATTATTACAACCGTTTTATTTTGTTAGGTACTTTGTATATATCATTTATAAAAAAATAAGATTAATTTGATAATCGTAACTTATTTAATTTATTATATTTGTCACAATATATATACATATATATATATATATATATATGATAAATGTGTTTTACAAATAGACCATTCATTTTTTAGGAAACACAAAATAAATGTAATAAATTGAATAAGTTATTATAAAATTGATAATTTTTTATATAAATGATATACACAAAATATTCAATAAAATAAAAAATTTAAATCATTAAAACAAAATTTATGATAAAATCTTCGGACCGAGATAACAACCTCCCGTTCAGATTATGAACAAAAAGAAATGCATATTTTTTAATAACAGTAAAATTATCAGTGATTAGTGATGTCAAGCTGTTCAATTGGAAAGAAATGTCCTTTCTGCGTTAGCCGCTTTCTACCTCTAATCTTGCACGTGATTTTATTGGCTCCACCTTTTCACCCTTTCTTGTCTTCAGCAGCTCTTAAATCAAATTTAGGTCCCAAGACCACCGAAAGCAGAAAGAAGCCAGCTATACAATTAGCAAGAAAGCTAGACAGCTATACAACAATTAACAAATTAACAATATTATATTAACATGATAAATGTGTTTTACAAATAGACCATTCATTTTTTAGAAAACACAAAACAAATGTATTAAATTGAATAAGGTATTATAAAATTGATAATTTTTTATATAAATGATATACATAAAATATTCAATAAAATAAAAAATTTAAATCATTAAAACAAAATTTATGATAAAATCTTCGGACCGAGATAACAACCTCCCGTTCAGATTATGAACAAAAAGAAATGCATATTTTTTAATAACAGTAAAATTATCAGTGATTAGTGATGTCAAGCTGTTCAATTGGAAAGAAATGTCCTTTCTGCGTTAGCCGCTTTCTACCTCTAATCTTGCACGTGATTTTATTGGCTCCACCTTTTCACCCTTTCTTGTCGTCAGCAGCTCTTAAATCAAATTTAGGTCCCAAGGAGGTAAAATTATGAAATAATTTAAAAATATTATGAGATAATATTTATGTGGTGGTCGTGATAAACCAAACCCGTTAATTTGTGTGTAAATTTCTCTGTTATTTAAAAATTAATTTTTTTGCAGCAAGATTATGTGGAGAATTTTTTGAAAACTTGCATTAAAAGAGAGGCATAATCACAACCCTCTTTCAAATTGATAGACTCACAAAACACAAATTATGACTTTCAATATGTCAACAATGCTCCACAACAAGACAGTGATTCATAAGTTTCATACAACATTTATAAATAAGATAATCTAATTTGAATGCTTATTAACACTAATTATACCTATAATTTATATGCAGTGTGGATTGTGGCATCTTTGTATGCTACATAATGAGACAATATATCAACCATAAACCTATCAGCTCGACATTGTTAACACAAGATGTAAGGTTGATGATGGCAAAAATCGTAGAGAGATCTGTGACCGAAGTTGGCCGGTCATGGACAGAATCAATTCAAATACTACTAGAAGAAGTACCAAAAGTATGATAGTGAAAGCAACACTAGTGAAAGGAAGACAATGCATACAATGTAATTAGGAATAACCCTTCAATATTTTTTTTCATACGTTGTAACGAAAAAAAAAAACTAATATGGAAAAGTTACTTATTTAGCCGAAAAAAAAAAAAGCTTTTACTTGTCATTTTTAGTCAAAATACTTATTTAAAGATTGTCAAACAGAACCTTAGATATTAACCATTTAACAATTTTCTTCTCTTACCCATCATTTCAGTTAAATTTAAACTTAAAAGAAGTAAGCATTTGGACTCTTCCAAAAAATTTATAATCTTATCTCGATTCTTTTAAAATCTAAATAATTTTATCTTGACCTTACAAACTTCCTAAAAATCTCATAGCCCAATACAATATTAAATATTTATAAAAGAAATTTGCATTTTAATCCTTTCAAAATATATATAATTTTAATCAAACCCCTTTAAAATCTAAATAATTTTATTTTTGTTATCTAAAATTTTAAAAAATTTCATGCAATTTTTAGTAATTATAGAATAAATTAGTTTTTTATTCATCCCAAACCTTTGAAGAATCTCATTACTTTCAATGTCATTTTGAGTTTTTGTAAAATAAATTAATATTTTAATTTCCAAAATAATCTTACTTCAATTCCTTTAAAATCTAAATAATTTTGCTTTAGCCCACCTTTTGCACAATTTCTGCTTACGCCACTGATGTTAACGACTATGCATATGCCTCTCGTATTCCAAAAAGAAAAAAAAAAGAAGGCAAAAGAGTAAGGAAAAATTACAGATTAGTGGTATAATCATAAAATTATTATAGATACATAGAAAAGTTTATAACTTTAATTATTAATGTGTATAAGGTTTATTATTTATTTATAATTTTTTTTAGAAGTCCACAATGAAGTGAAATTTCTCCAAAAAGTAAAGACTACTCATGTTCTCTCTATATAGAAGATGCGGTGGCACGGAATACGTATACATATAATTGTTTTTTTGTTTTGTAAAATATAACATTGTGAAAAATCTAATTAAATTTGAAATTTTAAAACCGAAACAAGTCATTGAATTTTAAAACTAAAATAATTTTTGAGTTGTGTAGAAAAATTTTTGTTTCCATGTTTGTCACAAAATTTGTAAAACTTAATATGTTAATTG